TGGTGGATATCAACACTGCAATTGTACAGAACTTTTCTCCATTTGGACTAACAATGTCCGCCCTAGTCAGGCTATCTGTGATTCTATCCTCCACACCAGACCGCAGATAAAGCACACATCTGCTTTTCAGACTACTGAAATTTAATATAGTACATACATACTATATCAAATACACATATAAATACACACTGAGCTGCTAAATCCCCAGAGGGAAAGGAGCTAATATATACTAAGCTCTTTGTATCATAAACCATAAGGAAACAGAGATTTCATTTAATCCCCACAAACACCCTGCAATGTAGGTATTATTATTCTTACTTTTATAGATGAGAACACTGAAGCAAGATACATTAAATAACTTGCCCAAGGTCACAAAACTAATAAGTAGCAGAGTCAAGACTTGAACTTAGTTTTGCCTAACTCCAAAGCCCATGTTGCTGTTGGCATTTTCTTCTCAACGGTACAACTATGGCAAACTTCTTGGGTCTTCATTTCATTTCACCTTAATTCCTGACATAGTATTTAACTGCGTGTCCTGGTTGTGTTTTTATAACCTCAAAAACAGACAAAGAAATATTTCCCAGAAGATTTCGCAGTCTTTTCTTTTCCTGCATTTACTTCCTGCTCCTGCACAAACTATTCTTTTTTAGGCTGAATCACTGGGCTAGCCCTAATGGTCTGCCATACAACATTTCAGCAATTAATATACCTAAAGGATGAAAGTTCTTTTTCCTTCCTTTAACACTTTAATAGCTACAGTTTTTGACCATGGTATTATTTTCCAAGCTGGTTCTTGCCATTTAAAGAGTGGTAGTGCCTAGTATAATGCCTCTTACCAGTAGGTGCAGAGGGAAAATATTTGTTGATTCACTGATTGAGAAAGGTTTCTTTATTCCTCTAGTTAGGTTGCTACATTTAAATCAAGAGACTTTATAGGATTCCAATTCTAAGAATGAATTCTTTCACATTAAAGATAATTTTTTGGAAAATTTAAAAATGATTCAAGGAGGTGGCCGGTTAGCTCAGTTGGTTAGAGTGCAGTGCTCATAACACCAAGATTACTGGTTCGATCCCCTCATGGGCCACTGAGTTGCGCCCTCCAAAACTAGATTGAAACAACTACTTCACTTGGAGCTGATGGGTCCTGGAAAAACACACTGTTCCCCAATAAAATTGTTTTAAAAATTCAGAAAATAATGGTAAACTGAAATATAACAATCTAGTGTTTAAGTCCCTAAATAACTGAATAATGGACTATGAACTTAAGAGTTTAAAAGACCAGGTTTAAAAATACTCAAAATAAACTAACAAACGAAACAGAAACAAACTCATAGATAGAGAACAAACTGATGCTGCCAGATGGGAGAAGGGTTGGGAGGCTGGGTGAAAAAGATGAACGGATTAAGAAGTACAAATGGACAGTTATAAAATAGTCACAGGGATATAAGTACAACATAGGGAATATAGTCAATAATATTGTAACAACTATGTATAGTGTCAGATGGGTACCAGACTTATCGGGAGGATCACTTTGTAAGTTATATAAATGTCTAATCACTATGTTGTACACCTGAAACTAATATAATGTTGTTTGTTATTTATAATTGATACAATAAAACAGAAAATTGTTTTGCTTAGGGTGGTAAGACTGACTTTATTCATTTTTTTATTATTCATTTTTTATATATATGTATTAAAATTTTTCTGCAATAAGTATGTTATTTTTATAATTATGGAAACTGACCTCACTCTGCATAAACTATGTATTTTTAACATTTTTTATACAGTGTGTTTATTTTCTCAGACATAATCCACAGCAATTAAGTACTCATTAATTCATACATGTGTCTCTAGAACTTATTACATAATATCAACACATTAAAGATCACTTTTTTCCCCATTCATGGAATGTTTTTCTTGCGTTAGGTGGATATGTCTGTATCTTTGTATGCTTTTCAAGCAGGTGCAGGTTACTTGTATACTCTCCACAGGACACTGATTGTCAATTTTTTTCTTGGTAACAAATATGGCATTTGCCCGATATAGCCCCAGCTTGTCTTTTAACTTTATGTTGTTACCTTTTCAATGAGTTAAAGTACTTCAACCACAGTGAAATCCAAATGGAATGAGCTACTTTATGTGGTAGTAAGTCCCTTACCAATGGAAGTATTTAAAGCAGAAATCTCCTATAAGGGGATTCCCATGCTGGACGGGAGGTTGTACAAGCTGAATTTTATGTCCCCCATCCTATTCTAGGATTGTAAAATAATTTTTTGACAAGTCTACTTTAGTGATACAATGGATCTCATACAGGCCTCTGTTGTGTTGAGTCCTTTTTCCCAGCTCACTGTTTAAATCAACCCAGGGAAGATGCTTTTCTGATCCAGCTTAATTCAGAGAGCTTTCTGATTACTCCCTGTGGAGACCAATTCCCATAATATTAACAGTTTCTTGCTATTTGAAATCATCGAAATGTGCTAAAATAATGCAGTCAGCAAAATGTCACTGTATGACTTACACATGGATCTGTTGCAGCCTGTAAAACACTGTCTCCATGAGGGACAGCCAAAATGAAGAATTATGTGGGAGTAATAAAATATGATAACTAGGCCTGCAACCTCAAATATAAACCCAGCTGCGCATGCACGCACACATCTATAGGGAAGCCTGCTCATAATAAAAGCAAAGAAAAACCCAAATCTTGTGTGCACTTACTTCACCGCAGGGCTGGGCAGGGAACTGTCCTTTCAGCACCACAGCAAGAAACCCTGGGGCACATCTAAACACGCAACCAAAGCTGGCTGGCGAGAAAAATTTGTTAAAGCTCCTACAAAGAAAGCACCAAGCAACTGTATGGTTGTTTGTTTTTAAGTATGCTATATTCCAATGCATAATCCTTTATTAATTTAAAATAAGATCCTTCAAATATTTTGAAAAAAGTTGACAAAACCCTAAATGAAAACCAAAGGTATTATTAAGTCAGCCTCTCAAACTCAACCAAAGGAACCAATAACAGGCATGCAATATCAAGAATTGCTTTGCCATACCCACCACCAACCCTACTAAGAAATACAACACATTTACACATACCCAGAATCATATGTTCAGAGAACATGGAACATGCTTGCAGTCCTCTCCAGGTACAGCCTCAATTTCTAGGACAGAGAATGCTTGCTGAATAACAAACCATCACTTCTACCCCCCTTCCAAGCAATCAAATTCTCTTTCAGGGAGAATTGAAGGCCTTATGGGTCATGAGTTCCAAAGAAAAAAAGCTGCAGTATTTCAAGAACCAGGTTACAGGCAATGTGCTACAAAGCTTTCAGCATTTTAAGTCTGATTCCCCCGAGATTCCTACCAGGATGGTACCGGGTGGTAATGTTACCCAGCCATTTGCATTACACATCAAAAAAATTTTTTTGAGGAAAGAAAAAGGCTCCCCCACCCCCAAATATCTTCTAATGCACGTGGAGAAAAGGGAGAAGTACAGAGATTGTGAAACAGTGAAAACCTACCACATCCGAAATCTCCCTTGGAAAGCTAAAACATCCCCCAGCCCTAACACACCGCTACCTCTCTAAAGTCTCCTCAGGTTCAAACTTGAGAAAACAGTTATAAAATGCACTCTCCCCCTTTGCCCCCAAAGCCCTCAACCACACTTCCTGCTGCCATCCCTGCTTCTCTGGTGCGCACTGTGCAATAACAGCTGTTTTCCTGGTAGGTAGAGCTTGCTCCATGCTAATTATTTCTCCCTCCCCCAGAATTAGCCAGATGCAATGCAAAGTTTCCTTTTTATCCTCCCAACAAATGACATCCTTTTATTATGAACACTGATTCTGAATCTTGGAATCTCCGGATATAAAATGTATTCCCCCCATGTTTCAAAAACTGCAGTGTAAGTGAGGAAGAGGGCACAGGGTGGAGGAGTTGGAAGGAATGCATAGTTTGAAGAATCATGTGTATCTGGCTGAAAATGATTCCCACTCCACCCCACATCGAAGAGGGGGCCCCTGAAGGAGTCTGAAAGCCCTGGCTAACCCCTGGAAAGTTAACTGCCAAGTCTCCACCAGTGGTTGCTGCTGGCATGGAGGGGATGGAGCAGAGCTCTCAGGGAAAATGCAGAGGCTTTGCGGTCCCCAAGTACTAAGAGAGAACTAGGGAGGAGGGGTCCCAGCCTGTGGAGCTGGGCAGTCCCGTAAGCCCAACGCTAACAAGAAGTCCAGGGTGCTGCTGCTGGTGGTGTGGTGGGGGAGGGAAGGGAGAGAGGAGAACAGGAACGAGCTCTGCATCGGGTGGCGTAGGGGTGGGGTGGGGGAAGGGGATATTCTGAAAGTGATGTACTCCCTAATGCAGTAATCCTAGCCTGACCAGGAAGGTCCCGGGGGCCCCCAACACAGCCCCAGAGCACCCTGTCGAGAAGGGGGCGGACGCATCCGAGTAAAGGACAGGGGGAGTCCTGGCTGTCCTATGAACCCAGGAACCCCTGGCTTCTGCAGTTGGTAACAACCTGAAGCCGGATGGGGGTGAAGGATGCAGTAAGACATGGGGGAGGGGGTTTACCTGAGGGGCTGTAGGCAGATCCCGACAGCGCTGCCCTTCCCAGTACAACCCGGCGAGGGGCTGCGACTCTGCCCGGGCCCTGGGAGACAGGGAGTGAGTGGGGGCGCTGCACTACGAAAGGGGCGCCGAGGGCAGGCCAGTGTCCCCAATGCAGCCAAGAGACGAGAGGAGAGCGAGGGTGTATGGGGGTGGGGGCCGCTGGTCCTCAATTCTCCTCAGGGACCCCCGGTGAACACGGGGGAAAGATGCAAGACTTCCAAACACCTGTCCAAAACAGGGAAGGTAGAAACCCAGCTCCATGACTCCTGGAGCCCCGCCGCGCACTCTGCGGCAAAGCCCCTGACTAGAGATGGGCGAGCCCCGCTCCAGGGTCCCGAGGAGAGAGGGGGAACCCGGCGGGCGAAGAGCGGCACCGGGGCGGGGGCTCTGGGTCGACTTACGGCAGCGGCGGTGAAAGAGGCAGCGGCAGCCCTAACGCGGGGCCCGGGAGGCGCGGCCGGACTGCAGAGGCGCCGAGGCTGCGGCGGGCGGGACTGCGGTGGGCGCCATCTTGGAGCGCTCCCCGCGCCCGCCCCCCGCGCCGCCCGAGTCCTTGCATAATTGATGACTCGCGCCCGCCGCGCGCCGCCGCGCGCGCC